GCAAAGTGCCTTGAGATGACATGTGTTGTGAATTGCGCTATATAGATAAACCGAATTGAATTAAACATACACCCCAGAGGCCAAAAACCCTTAGATCCAAGCACTCCCCTTCCCTCCACATCTCAATATGAACAATTGCAGTAATGTCTCCCTAATCATATTTCAATTTTTATGCTCTGTTTTTGTGACGCATTTCTGCAAAAAATATTACATCAGTACAGTTTAAATACAGTTGCTGCTTTCTCTGCTTTAAAAAGCCATCAAACCATGTTCCGCATTTCATTTTGAAATTTATATGAAACCCCGTCCATATAAAACCACTGTATTTCTCCTGAAGGGTCTGACACCGTGACAATCTCATACTGACACTAGCTTTTCGCCACCCATTACTTCTGATTTGTCATCCTAAATATAAGTTATATTCATCTACATGTTGTCTGAAGAGAAAAATTTACCACCAACGTCCATCCGAACAGATTTCCTCATGCAGTTATATCTACATGGTTCCTTCTCATGTCTGGAGATCTTTAGACCTTATTAGGGAATGACCCCAACAGCTGAAGAGCTGACCGAGACCCTCTCCCTCCTCCCTGGACCTCTGCTGACATCGTGACTCAACTATAGCAAGGCTATTTAGACATCCAAGCTGTTTGGGGACGCAGAAATAGTCGGCTGATGGAGCCAGAAGAACAAAGCTCTCTCTCTGCGCTCATTTATTCCTGCCCCCCACCCCTCCATCTCACCTCTTTTTTCCCCCCCTTCTTTCTCCCTGTAATTATACCTGCTCTGCCAAGCGTGGCTCGAGGCGTGGCCGGGTGAAAAATCACTTGTTAATATGAATGCGCAGAATAAATGATGAAGAGAAGGCTTCATCGCTGGCCGTCTCTGTGGAAACAGTGGGTTGAGAGCAGCCTGCACCTCTATGTCCCTCCTGGGAATAAGAGGTAAGGAGGCCTCGCTTTGGGGAATAAAGTGAGCCTGTAAAGTGAGGCCATACCTTTTTGAAATGTTCCTGCTACAATTAAAAATCCATAATGAGGGAACCAGGGTAACCATGTTAATATAACAACCCTCTGTCTTGGGATTATTTAACAGCTCGGATTAACCTGCCGAGCTGTAAAAGGGCAACAGGAGAGTGGAGACGACAAAAAGGCAATTCCCTCCCTCTCCAGGAGAAGCATCTATTACTGTGAAGCTGAGGTTGCAACGGCTGACGTCTTTGTAGGGAAGCCACAGAGCTTCACCAGTAGTTGAACCGAAGGATGGGACAGAAAGCCCTTCTGTTCCTAATAATAGGAATGCAAAAGAAGGAATGTGGATCTTGGAGCTTTAGATCTGTAGCTACTTTATAAATTTCCTTTGAATTCATTTCACTGTTTTATGAATAGAAACTACATGTGAAGTGCTTTGTTAGCATGACTAAAAAAGAAACTGTCCCAATTAGATAAACTGCTGGGAAAACATTAGAGGGAGATTTTTTTTTATTTTTTTAAATGCATTAAAGTACTTTTCATAATTTACAAAATTGTACTTCGCCTTCGCTTTTTTTTAATTTTACTATTACGTGTATTTGTATTTTAATTGAATTATTTTTAGGCCTAATCAACAAGTTTATGGAAGTTACATTGTCATGGCAACACATAGCCTCTGCACCGACAAATCTGTCCCCACGCAGAGGTTCTGCAACCGTTGTCGCACACCTCAAGGAAATCCTGACTACGCGTCGGACGGTCGCAAACCCGCACAGACCTCAAGCAGAAGTGCGCAGACAAAAAGCAGCTGTGATTGGTCCTTGGTATGCCTTTCCGGCTGACTGTGTGGTCGTCCTTCTCGATTAGGTGCCGGGGCGCGCCATTTTAAAAAAACAAGGAACAACTACAATGGACAACTACGAGGAAAGGTTAATCGAGGAGGTTCGGAAGTACAACCACTTGTCGATGCCTCAGACAAATTATATAAAGTTGCCAAGGTCTCAGCAAAAACAAAGTTCTCGTGACAATCCGCCCAAGTTCTCGCGAGTTCTCGAATAGGCTCCCCCTTGCGCTTTGGCAGGAAACTGCTGTGCGTCCCCAGAAATTCCAGACCGACGGTGCAGAAGCATACCAGCAAAACTTGTTCGCGACCAGACCCAAGCCACATTTGATGTGTTGCAGAAGTCTAATCGGCCCTTAACATGCTAATACATCGCTAGCAAATTGGTGTTAAGTGCTTCACACAAATAAACAATGTTTCTTTTTCTGAAAGAGAACCATATTCCCCCCAGACCAGTTTGAAAATCACCAGAGTTTTAAACAGATTTTTTTTTTAAATAAATTAAAAAAGGAAAAATTGTTAAATGTTAATTGGCATCTTGCTGTTTTTTGTGTCGCTAGTTCAGTTTTATTGATGCTCATTTTAGTAAATCTGTTGGACGTAATTAGAAAATGACAGGTTTCTTTGGATCACATTGTCATTTTTATTTGACAACATTCAACTTAAAAAAAAAAATACATTCAACCTATAGTTTGCTTGAAGTCAATGTGGTTATTAGACCTTATATGTGATATACCACAGGGAGGCCACTGCTGATTGGTAGGTTAATCTGTCATGTTTTATAGGACTCAACAGGCCCATGGGAATAAGAACCAAAACATACAACACAAATTTTACATAATATCATTCAGTCTGATGGAATAGTAAGATTTGCGACTGTTTTTGCTCCATAATTCATTAAAAATAGATATAAAACCAAAATTAAACTGATACACCATTCATTAAGGTCAAATTCTCCAAACCTCCAATCTCATTTTTATTTTTTCCTATTAAGTTTGAGAGAACCACATTCTGTGATAAAGGTGGGTTTATTGTTGTAAAGTGTAGAAAAATTAGTTTGGACTTAAAATTGGTGTTAAATTAAAGAATTTAACACCAATTACACAATTTCAGAAGAAGTGGACAAGAAGTGGCCCCCTTGTCTATAATTGGTCGTGGCCCCTGTTCTGACCCCTCTACTGAAGACATAGCACTAAAATACACTTTTTTATGATGATTCTCGCCGGCACATTAACTGTAGTGACATGTCCCTTGAACCAGTTTCATGTCTTACTTTTACAGCTTTACTTTAAAAATTATTTAAAAAATGAAGGCATTTCACTTTAAGCTTGAACCAAGTTGAGATAGAATCTGTTTCCATTTACTAGATCAGGGGCCTGTAACCTGCAGCTCCTTAGCCTGCAGAGTTAATTCACTATGTGGTTCAATAGCTACAAGTTTAACTCCTCTCAGCCAGTAAGTGCCGCACTCACCCATCCTGGTGCACGAATGCTAGCCCTTCCTTCCTTAAGTGGGAATCGGTGCTCTAAATCTTGGTCGACGTTCATCCTCATCTTACTTCTTTTTTAGCTTGAATCTGAGAAATGTAATATTGAGAAGAAACCATTTCTCAGCTCTTTGATCTGGCAACAACTGAACTCATGTTTCTTGAACATACTGTTTCTATTGGTGCAAAATCATTTCACATCAACATCAGCATCAGAGCCAGAAGTGAATATTTATGTATTTTGGGCCAGTCAATTTTTAAAAAGACTATTATAATACTTTTTAAAAATTAAAATGAATACCTGTATTCTGAAGCACTATAGATGGTCTTGGATAAATTCTGATCTTTTATTTGTTTGTTAAAAGTTGTAGCTATGACCTTTACAGATTAAATATTGCCCCATTTCGTTTGTAGTATATTTGATCTAGAAACAGCATTGTGTAAACCTATATTTTCTTTTTGATTTTTTTATGGCACTAGTGGCTCATTTTTATGGACAGTAGGCAGACAGGAAAAGGGGGGAAACATGCAGCAAAAGACTACAAGTCGGATTCGAACCCGGGTCAACCGCGTCGAGGACCAAGGCCTTCATACATGGGTCATCCGTGCTAACCACTATGCCACCGAAGAACACCCACGATTGTGTAAACCTACACCAAAAGCCGTATTATATCTCTGTGAGACAGCCTGTGCAAACCATGGAGTTTTGTGATGGCAGCAAATACAGATGTGGGTCCAAGCAGCCTAACATGCAGCGGTGGCCTGTGTGTGGCCAGATGTAAGAGACACCGCCAGTTTGTGACAACAGTTAATATATTCATGCCTTATGCAAAAAAAAAGGCTGAGGAAGTTCACAGTCCTCCCACCCAACAAACATCATTAATTTGGTCTGCAAGACAGCAACATGCATGGCCCAACCTTCAAAGGAATATCACACATTAATTATTAATCCCCATCGCACTGGACAGCATGAAAGAACAGCCTCTGACAGTTGGGTAAAAACACTAATAAGAGACTCCCCCCCCACTCCATATCATGCAGGCTTGTTCCCCTAAAACAATGCAACATGAAAAGCCAAGCGGTTTGAGCTCATTTTATTATAACCACTCTGTTCCCCTCCAGAACCTCCAGTTCGGTTTCGCCTTCATTTGCATCCGCCACAGAACACCACACACCTGTTTTCTTTTTTTTTTTTTTTTCCTTCACGTAACAAAGCAAATTGAATGTATTCACCAGCATTTGATCACTTAAATCAGATATCAGGGAAACGTGCAAACTGGCAGCAGCGTGGATATTATACACATTATCCTGGAGGGAATTGCAGAAAGCAAATACCTATTTTTAATAGATTCTCCCAGCAGGAAGTAAATTGAGGGAGAGATAACAGCTGGCTACACTCATCTCTCATGCACATCCAGGTAGAAGCTCATTTAAATTCCTCCATAGCAGAGTTAGCTTCTCTGTTCAGGCTGAGAGTTCAGGCTGAAGCTGCAACTTGCTCATTAACAAAAAAAAAAAAAAAAAAGAGAGAGATTACACCTAAAACTGTTACCGTGAAAATGAAAGTGTGGCACATTTTCCCTGTTGCTTAACATGTTGACAGTCTGTGGGGGTAAGATTCAGTGTTTGTCATGTGATTCATGCCTTTAGGAACACACTCTTTTCAGCCTGCTGACTTAAGGCTTCACTTCACACACAGATCAACAATCCAGCTTTTTTATTTAGCTAAATATCCTTACAGAAAAAGAGCAATCACATACGTCTACTATATCCAAACAGTACCTATATGCTATGTGCATTATAACCAGTCAAAAAAGGCATAGGTTGTACTGCATGTCACATGTTAACATACTTAAAAAAAAAAAAAGAAATAAGTCAAGCAGTATGACATTTCTCCTCTACAGAGCCATATTGTAAAGGATGCAATTAACAGCTGGTATAATTGTTCATTTTTTAAAAGTTGAAGCACTCCATTCAGTTCTGTTTAGAGGTAAGTGAAAATACAATTTGCAGATATTTCTTAAAAAAAAACTGCTTTGATTCATCGTCCATGCAATGTAACAGAGAGCAAAACGCAGTTGGCCTGACAGCTGCCAAACGGTTGTGCTGGACATGCAGCAGAGTTAAACAGATGCACCGTCTGAACGGCATCGTTGAAGGTAAAAGAAGGAAGACTTATCATGCATAAAGTCATTCAATGCATCTTTTCCAAGTCCCTAAATTGTACCGCCCTCAAACGTCTGAGTTGATGCTTAGGTTGGCCAAACGCGGGTCAGAGTTGATCTCATACCGATAATGGTACCCCTCCATGTGGTCCCTGCAGGCGTCCCTGATGTTGTAAATCCATCGCTTAATGCCTTTTCTGTTCAAGTAGAGCACCAGCAGGAATATGACCCCGATCAAGGCCAGCACCAGTCCCAGGAACACGTAGGACGTCTCCAGGACCCCGTCCCTGTTGGAGCACTCCAGCTGAGACTGCTGCACCTGTAGAAGAGGCGTGTGCCTCATGGCCTCTGGGTCGAAGCATGTCAGGTTGTCAGAGTCCACCACCTGAGTGGAGTTCTTCAGCCACGCCACCAGGTCGTCAATGATGCAGTTGCATCTCCAGGGGTTACCAAGCAGCTGGATACGGAGGCTGCGATTGATGCTGAACTCCGCTAATGTGGCGGAGGGCAGAAACTTCAGGTTGTTGTCCCTCAGGTCGAGGTCACGCAGCGCAGGCAGGCTCCAGTTCTCGATGGTGTAGAGGAGGGTGTTACGGAGGCTGAGGGTGACCAGGCTGGACATGGCTGTGAAGGTGCCGTCCAGCCGGTGATGTTCCAGGTTGTTGTTGGATAGATCCAGGGTGGCGAGCTGGAGAAGGTTTGCCCGGGGGAAGAAGTCGAGCAGGGAACCATTGTGAAAAGACCTGCTGAGGTTTAGGAGCTTCAGTTTATTGTCATCAGGTAAAGCATGTTCGTCAAAGGTCAGGATTCGGTTGTTACTCAGATCAAGCCGCTCCAGGTTTGGCAAGTTCTGAAACGCACCTGCCTCCACAAGCTCCATCTCATTGTCACTCAAATAAAGATCTGTCAAGTTTTCCAGACGCGTAGGGAAAGACGTCTGGTTAATTTGGGAGATGCTGTTTCCCGTGATGAACAGGGATTTAATATTGGCCGGTAGGGAATGAGGAATGGCGTTCAAGTCCAGGTTTTGGCATTTCACAGTTTCTAGGGAGCACAGGCAATTGTCCGGACAGCAGCGGCAGGACAGCGCGAGCGCGAGGAGGAGAAGCAGCCGCGTCATAACGCACCGGTGAGGTCTCCCCGGCTCCTGGCGCGGGCGCATGTTGGGGAGGCGCACAAATCAGTGTGCGCAGGAGGAAAAGCTGCCTCTCAACAAGTCACCGCCCCGTCTCTCAAAGTTTTTCAGCAAAGTTTCCTCCTTAATCCGATTTAAATCAGCTCCCAGGAACACCTCCATATAACTGATAGCAGGTAAAAAACAAAAACAAAACAAAATGGGATTAAATACTCTACATTTTCACGAAACGCGCAAAAAGCTCCGATCTCCTCTTTTCTGAAACATCTGCTTTTCTCTTTTTAAAGCTGTGAGGGGATCATCCACGCTCAGTTTGGGGGGAAAACTGAATCAAACGCAGAATGAAAAAACGGTCCTACAAACTCACTGTGGCAGCAGGTTTCCAGACAAAGCCACCCTCCTCCCAGACAAAGATCCTCCTTCTCTCTGAGGCGCTCCTCCAGCCTTCTGACCGCCCAGCAGCAGCATTCAGAGCACTACATCACAGGGAGGGAGCGTACCATTACAGAACAACAGGAGGGGAGCAAAGGGACTTTAATTCAACCCAGAATTAGTCATTTGAACAAGTTTTCCTCATAAAACATACAAGTTTTTACTTCTATCCTTTGTATAAAGCCATTCAGGTTAATAGGAAAAACAATAAGAGCCATCAAAAAATAAAATAATCTGATTCACAACCATTGAGACTTTTGAGTATTGCTATTCATATAAACTTTTTTTATATAAATTAAATGAACTTAGTACACTGAAAAAAAAACTGCAGGGTGGTAACACCAGAAGCGTAGCTAGAACATTTTTAAAGGGTGGCCAGGCAATAACCAACTGAAGGGTTGCGGAAAGTGGATAGGAGCCAGAACCTCAATCTAAACTATTGCAAGAGGAAAATTAACAAGGACAACATCTATATTTTCTATATAAAGACTAACTATACTTTCCTACAGACTTGGGTACCAAATAGATATATTAGGATATATTTAAACATATATTTAAACATCCGTGCTTTCTAGATAAAAGGTATAGTGGATACAATTATTTCAGGTTTGAGTTCTGGGGCAAACATCTCTTCCTTTGTCATTATTTGCCTACTTTTATAAACAATTATTCTACATAAAAGTGATATTTACAAGTTCTAATATATACATAAATTAATTATTTAAGTTTTTATTAAAATAGTTATTTATTTATGATTTCACTGATTACTCCTAGATGGCTTTCAGACTTTATCTTTACCCCATGTAACATAAAATCTAGTTCTGAATAGAGCATGAATTATCACGTTTAATGTTAGTATATTGATGTGCATAATTAACCATGTTGTTTTTGTTGTCAAGTAATCGTTAATATCTGAAAAAATTAAATGTTTTGAATATTCCACTTGAGAGTATTACTGCTGCCACCATCTGTATTGGGGGGGGGGGAATGGTAGGGGTGGCCAATGATTAGCTAAGGGTGGCCATGGCCACCCCTGGCCCCCCATCTAGCTCCACTCCTGGGTAACACTTGAATTTGAATTATTTCACAAGGACTGACTGGTTTGAATTGGCAGCCAGGGATGGATTAGGCCAACATTACCATGTTGAAAGTGGCAAAGAAATACTTTTTTGTTGGCTTGTTTTCCAAACAGTAGCCTGATTACTTAACACATAAATACTGCAAACCAAAAAGTTTAAAGTTATTAACTAGACTGAGTACAGTTACTGCCAACTTAAACGTGTCGAGTTAGTTTACCCCAGTCTTGTTTTTATTTATTTATTTTCTATTATTATTTAGTTATTTACTCAAACAAGCCTCCATTAAATAACAATAAAGAACACCTTCAGTAAAACAAGGAAGTACTGGTGTAAAATATTATAAAAATAAGACTTCATTGTCTTACTAGTTGGCATAAATGTGGTTAGAGCTGCAACACCATGACGAAGACTGCTGTTAGATTTTAATGGTAGTATTAATGTTGAGAATTTTAACATTTTGACATAAAGCAACAAATCAGAAAAAAACTCAACTGCAGTATTTTGTTTTTTCATCAACTTCTGGACAAAACCATTGATTTTTGTAACAATGCTCTCCTGGATTATGCAGGATTATACCTCTGTGAAGAAAACAGCTGTGGATGGATTGGGGTTGGAATATCAAAGGAGGGCTCGCTCCTTAATATGTCAAATTTAGGAGTACCTTATGTAGTGTAACTCTACCTTTTTACCTCTGTCTGGCCCCTCTCATATTCTTAGCCCTGGGTCAATGGGACAACCATCAGAGTAATTCCATCACACCTGGATTGAGGTTGAAACTGATACCCTGGTCAGAGTCTGTCAGCCTTCATAGCTGACAAGATGTTTTCCAAGTGGATGTATAAACTTTTGACACTCACTTCTCTTGTTCACACTAAGGTTGAGGTGCTCCAGAGTTTCATTTTTAGGAAATAAACCAATTTAATCCCGAAGTTTAAAAGTACACTCTTTAGGTAATGTTTTATGGTCAATATAAAAAAATGTTTCAAATTTAAACACGGTAATGCATTTTTCAACAAACACTAAATAAAGTAGGATTTATCAGCTGTATCTTGAATTCAATAATGTTTTTTTATGTGATAGCATAGATTAAATAGAAAGAGATATGATTATATTAATAATAATTATATTAAAACTTTCTGAAGAAGCAAGTAAATGAAAAAATGGAGGTAAGACCCATATTCAAAGAAGTTTAACAATAAAATCTGAAGTTTCTTGATTTTTCCTACAGTATTTTGCAACCTTTATGCCAAAATGGAAGCATAAGGATATGTTTGTATTATTTTCTGCTTTATTTTTTGACAAATAATAATAAAAAAATGTGCTTGTTATCTTTGTTTATTGCATAATTTGTGTTTATTAATTCCATGACATCCATGCAGAACTTCAGTGGGAGGGATTAGGGTGGCTCTTAGAGACCCTGACTTCTGATTGGCTGTTTCACACACCTCCACTAACAGACTAGAGAATAGAGTGCATGTCTGTTTATTTTTTCCCCCCTCTTTTAAACATACACACATAAATCAGGTCATCAACTTCACTAAGAAGAAGCTGCCATAGACGCCAAACAGGATCAACATCAGCCTCCCACGCTATTAACCAACTGGTTCACAGTAGAAAGGCTGCATTCACAACTTGAGTTTCTTATCTAGACTAAAAAGGTCACATAGTACAGCTGTACACCACAATGCCTGTGAGGAAAATCTGAAACTGGACCTCTTTTATCTGACTTAATATTTCTGGATTTTTGGAGATCATTATCAATACTTAATTATTTGTGTTGGTCTTGCACACAAACTACCAAAGGAATAGACTACATGGATGTTTGGTTGTATAATGTGAAAAAAGGTTGAGGTGTGCGAGTAATCTTTCAAGGCGCTGTGTAATTATCTTCAGAGCACAAAAAACACACCATAAAGGGACGATTGAATGGTTTCTGGTTCATAAATAACTTAATATAGGAATGCAGTAAACATAATGGACAGATTGGTGAATGGTGGCTCTTTAAGCGCTGACTCCTCCAGCCACATTTCAGGCCTCATGAATCTTCCTGAAATCAAAACCTCATAAGGTTGAAGTTATTTTTTTGAGCTTTGCGCACCTTTGTCTATCACAATTTTTCCTTTAACATTAACTTTCCCCAAATATGTTAACATACAAGTAACATTTTTCTGGCGGGGAGCGTCTAAAATAAATAAATTACACAGAATTAAAGGTAGACAATAAGTCTCTTAATCAGTTACCTTTTTTGAGCACTGGACAACTGTTAATCAACAGTTTTATGCATAAACCAGAAAGCTAGCACATGACATTGACATATATATCGTGGAATATCAGTTTTGTTCCATCTCTTTTATGGAAAATATTTATTTTATGAGAGGCTGAATTATGTTTTTTGTATATGCTATTTCATATATAATGCAAATCTGTTTTGTTTAATAAATCCAAGAACCTTAATGTTAAGAATTTGTCATTACTGAAAGTAAATTTTAAAGATATTTTCTTTTACCATATTTAACCTCTAGAGAAAGGTCATGTCAAGTACCAGATGTAAGGGGGAAAAGAAATATCCGGTTTTAAACGTGTATTTAATTTTAGTTAATCCTAAAACATGAAGTCCACATTTACTGTAATAATTTCTCTTTTTCTTCTTTTTAGAATTTAAACCCGATTCCTCTTCTTCTTCAACTCCAAAGGGTTGTTCAAGATTAAGAAAAAAAAAAAAAATGTATGTGATGTCATCTAGCAACAGTGCCACTGACTTCACTGACGTGCCCCAAAAATAGACCAATCAGATATTAGCGTGTAGCCGCTTTAACCAATCAGAAGTCTCGATGTTAAGTGGGTGTTGTTACCTAACCTGCAGGATTTAGCCCTGTCAAAATCTGCCACAGATGAAGAGCCGTTAAAGTTCCCTATTTATTAGTTATGGCACACAGAATGTACGTCGCTAGAGCTACTTTCTTAGTCTCTTCCTTTTTCTTCATCTAGCGGAAGGTAAGATAATACGATGATTTTAATAAATGTATTTTAGCGCAATAGCATCAGGCTAGCTAGCAATATTCTGTTAAGTCAACCTAACACAGCAATGTTACTAAATGGAGGTATTACAAAAACAGCAGGTCCGACACTTAGATGGGAGTCCTGCTTTTTCTTAAACGATTGTCTAATTTGCTTCTGCATGTTAAATTGGACAACATTCTGAGCTATCTGAGCAACATATGCTAGAAGCTATTAGCTTGCGCTATGAGTGGACAGCTATTTTGAGTTTTTCATATATTTTTCATATTTTTTTTTTCAATAAATGTCTTTAAATATTCATTTCCTTAACGCGGAATAAAGTATTGACGCAATTAAAAGTTTGGAGGACACTGAAAATCTTGAAGTTAATGTTAGCCGGCTAATTTAGCCTGTTATATAATGCAGGAGTTCTGCTAGCATTGGTGCCCATCATACGTGTACACTCAGTAGATGTGAGCTTTTAAAGTCCAAGTTGTGATTACCTGAGTCATTTTGACATCTTTGCTACCATAACGTCCTGGCACCTCATTCCTCCTGTGTTATTACTCTAAATGCACCCTGGGAATACTTACTTGTGTATAGGAGGGTGTTAAAGCAGCATTGCTGCAGAAATTGTTTCCATTCACACAAGTTCTCAGTGTTTGTTGCATTTTATTTCTAATGTTGTTGTTGTTCTCCTTAGGTTCACCCTACAATTATGGAGATTTAAAAACGAAATCGTGAGTTTTGGGGGGAAAGGTGGCCTTTCCCCTCAAGTTGGATGGTTGGGCTGCTGGAAGAGAAGGTCAGGGTTTTTAAAATTGTTGCCTTTTGTAAATGATTGAATAGAAAGATTATTTTTGCAAACCTTGAGATGCACTATTTTGTATGACAAGCCTGTTAAGTTTTTGTATTGTTTGAATTCATGATG